TAGACTAGATTCTTTCAGCAATAATCATTAAAACATCAGCAGTTGACCTAGAGAAGTGAAAGCCATCTTGCTTATCTGAAAAGATACCCAGTGATGTGAAATGCTTGACCAATTCAATTTTTTAGAATTTTTAATACTTTGTCAAAAAGAGGTAGAAGTCTAATAGGTCAATAGTTGGAAGGATCAGATGTTCACCTGAGTTCTTAAAGACTGGAATTACAGAAGAGGATTTCCATCAAACCAGAAAGCAAGAAGTAACCAGGCATTATTGTAGAGTTTAGAGAGAACAGGAGCTAGTTCGGGAGCACATTTCTTAAGGACTATTGCAGAGATGCCACCAGGTCCACATGCTTTGTAAGGGTCCATTTTAAAGATGATAGCAGAAACTGTGAAAGATGTTATATGCATATCATTCAACAGGGATTCCATCTTAAGGGGAAAGTCAGACAAAGATACTCCAGATGAATCAAGAGTAGAATTAGAAGAGAATTTACAAGCCAGACATTCTACTTTCAGCAGATGATGTTAAACTGAGTGAAGATAGGAGGGATGGAGATATTGCCTTTATTTTAAGACACTTTTACAGAGTAGCCAGTAGTCATAAGAGCTATTCTTATCTAAAGAAGTTGTTAGAGGTAATATGGTGCCTCATTCTATAGGCAAACCAAGACTTAGACACTTTGAGAATATCTTTTATAATTATATGCAGACACAGATAGCTGCCTGTTGTGATCAGAACTGTCACACTGATATAGCCAGAAAAATTGACTCCTGTGGACTATAGTGACTGAACAGACTAGTGTGAACCATGGAGAAGATTGTAGTTCCACTTGGCACATTTTTCAATAGGAAGATTAAGAATATCAATCTTGCTGGAATGATTAAAACTAAATGTTATGTAAATTATTCATTATTTTATTTATTTATTTTTATCTTATTTTTTTTTTCAGTTGCTTAATAATTGATGCTGTTTTTGTTTTTTAAATTTAACATTCTGAGCTAAGAACATTTGTGGTCAAATATAAAATGTTAAATTCATACATAGCAAAAATGAATGTTTTTATTGTGGTCACAATAGAAACAATTTCATTTCCTCTTTAGAAACTTTCTCATTAGCCTTCTACCAACTTGGTAATCAGCTGTCTCTTCCCTAACCAAACAAGACTATCTTTTTTACCTTCCTTTCTTGTCTTTTTGTTTTCTGTTTTTCTCTTTCTAATCAACTTTTCCACCACCACGTCCATTTCCTGATTGTTCTGCTTTCCAATTAACCTTATCCTTTAAATCTCACCTGACTGTATTGACCAGATCAAGTGATTGCCAATTCTTTGTCTTCTCTTTGGTTTCTTTATATCAGTCTTGATGCAGTTGTCCAGGGAAAATACCATTTGGGAATATTGACAGTCATTAATTTATTAATTTTTAATCAGTTGTTATTGAAATAAATACATTAACATTAATGAAGATAAACTTCGTATAAAATACAAGTGCAAGTAAAAAAAAAAAAATAAAAAAAAAATAAAAATTATTTATTAACTACATGTCCATGTTGTTTATATTTCAGTATGTCATGATAATTTTTGTATTGCAAGATCTGGAATGAAATATGAACTGTAAGTCCAAACTGAAAGCTAAAATGAAGATGGTTGCTTATGTAAATTGAGGATATCATTTAGTCTGTTATTCATAATTTTATTTTAGCATCAATCACATTGCCAAAATGAATGTTGGCAGTCTTGTATCCATTTTCCAGTCTGCCTCCAGTTTTTTTTTTTTTATCATATTTGATAATATTTCTATATTTTCCAATGGGCATACTGAAACTTCATAGAAGCATTTGCTGATAGATTTTTTTAATGGGATTAACAAACTTGAGTAAATATTAATCCAACAACACCTGGTTCCATCATTACTCAGTATGCTCAAATTTGTTGCCATCTTTTATGGTTTTTCTCTGGTTTATTACTTCCTTGAAACAACTATGCAAAGTTTCAATATTTAAAAAAACAAAAAAAATAAAAAATTAACAGTTAATAAAACAAATCCTTAACTTGTGTATAAACAGCTTTTTTTTTCTAGCAGAACACTTTCTTGAGTTAATATAAACGGATATTTAGTTCTAACACTGTCACCAACACTTCCATTTATTTTAGAATCTACTGTAAAGATTAAATATAAAGAAAATAAATTAAAAATCTTATATTGACAAGATCCCACCAATGACATTGCAGAGATTCCAAATGCAGTTTTGTGATTTTGTCCCGATAAAGATAGACTAAATGATCACTGAACTACATGTGTATGATTTGTTAACAGTATAAATAAATCAATTTGTGTCTCTTAATACTAATGTTGGTCCCAAAATGGATTTGTCTTGATTGGTTGTATTTTGTGCAGTTAAAATTTGGTGGTATAGTGAAAAGGAGTTGGAGAAACAGAGTATAAGTTGAGTAGATATTCCATTTATTTTAAACAGTATTTTGTCAACTGGCCTAAACATTTGAGAAGAAAAGTCTGTCATTTGACCTGATGTGTTTTGACCACTCTATGAAGAACTTAATAATCAAGCAAGGTTCTATTTGCCTTGGAAGCACTTTTCTGGTTCATATTTCATTGAAAGTCATAACTGTTCAGTTTCATATCTGAAGCTTAAGCAAAGCAACTTCTAAAGTATTAATGGATTTTATTTATTACTCTGTTGTTTTATTACTTAAAATGTTATTTTTAGTGGATGCCTATATTATGACTTAAGAAATCATGTATTTTAATGGCAAATAGAACCTTGCTTGATTATGAAGCTCTTTGTAACTGAGTCAGATCAAATAATGGCTTCTCCTACAAAGGGGGATGTAAGTTTGAATCCTGCTAGAGAGTGAATTTTTTTCTGTTTTTTAAGATTTCTTGAATGTTCTATCTGGTAGATGACATAAAATAATGTTTAAAATAAACTGAGCATTTACTCAAATATGGGTATCCACTAAAGATAATGTTTAATGTAGTAGTATATTGTAGCACTTTGATACTCCATTCATATGATCAAGGCAGATATATTTCTTCAAGATCTTGGCCTTTTTCTTTGTTGTCACCCCACTTACTACTTTCCAATATAACAAGTCTATTTAATTTTATAATAATCAACTTAATTTCTCTTTAGTTGTGTGATTATTACTAACATAATCTAAATACTCTTTGTGAACATTCTATAATACTTTTATACTTCATAGCAACTCTGGATTTATTTCTTTTAAATATTAAGCACATAGCAATCCCTGGAGATATTATCACACATCTTTGTCATATAAACCTATGACCTCTTGCTGCTCATGGGAGAGGAGGAGGAGGAACGCAGGCCCCTGGTCATTGTGACCAAGGCGCTTGAACAGGTTCAGTATTGTTACAGCCCATTTATTTTTGTCTGCCAACTGGATCCTAGTTGAAAACTTTCCTGTCTACTCTTACTTCTGGTATTCTTGGCTTTTATTACTTCTTGCTACCACAGACCCTTAGCTTTCCTTATTTTACTTCTGCCGTTTCTGACCTGCACATACACCGGCCACATCTGCTTTCTACTTCTGGCTTTCATTCCAGCATTTGCAACAGTCAAAAGACCCTACTACTTCTGGCACTTCTGGATCTGCTCATATTGAAAAAAATAGATTCATTGTACATTTCTGATAAAGTTACTGTATAAGAGAGAGGCATCTGAAGAAATGTAGATTACAACAGCCAAAATGGGATTATATCAATCTAGAAGAGAACAGTTCAAATAAATTGGTGGTTAATAATATAACTGTTTATCTCAGAAATTCAAACACTAAGTTTTTAAGTAGGATTTATTTTTATTTTGCCTCAAATTTACTATTCAGAATCTAGAATTTTCAATCACTTTTTCTGATGTTTGTATTTCATTTGATTTCATCAAAACAATTCTAAAATTAACATTTGGTTTAATCTGAACTCACTTTTAGTATTTTGCCATTTAATTTCTTCACTTTATTGGCTGCTTGTGTATATTTATTTTATTTCCAATTTTTGTTTTTTAAATTCGCATATTTTATCTCCCGCAAATGACCTGCATTATTTTCTGGAATTATTCCCCTTGGATAAGGAAAAATTTTGAGAATTCTATGATGCTAAGTGAAAGTCCATTTAATTGGTGTTTTAAAAAAATATTCCAAGTTAGGAAACTTGTGATACCATAAATAACATTAAATAGATCAAAATGTTGTCTCTTTCTAATAAATACATTTATAATAACGCAGCATATTCTGGTGGTATTGTTGGGGGGGGGATGACATTATCATTGTTGCTTTTAGTGTGTATGTACTATTTGAATTTATATACATAGGTAAGATTTTTGCCTTTTTGTATTGTTGCCAGTTGACAGAATTTTACAGTTATAGATCTAAAATTTGTATAGATTTCTATAATTAATATTTTGCTTTGGAATTTTGGAAGAAAGATTGTTACTAGTCAAAAATTCATGAAAATATCACTGACAAAATGAGGCTATTTACCAATATAAGTTTTACATATTATGAATGGTGTATTTCTAATAGCAATTATTTTGAATTGTTGGTGTCCTAAATCTGTGGCTTTCAAAAGTAACACTGAAATTGAATGGTGATGGGGGTGGAATGCAAATTATTTTTAGACTTCTTAGATAATAAATTTGTTTTACTAGATGTGATTTTTTTCTAGTGGAATTCATTTATCTTTATGGTGTTAATTGACTATATGAATATTTACCAAAGTTGGAATTTCTGTAAATTCAACTTCAGATCTAAATAAGTTATTTTTTAAAATAATTTATTAATATAAATTATTTTTAAAACTTATTTTTTCTAGATTCAATTTCAAACATATTCTGAACTATCTTGTTTTGTTGGAGAGGGGGAAATTTTCATTTTAATTTATTTACTTTTTAGCAACAATACTTCTTTAAAAAGTAATTCTAATATTTTAAATGTAAAATTTCAAAATCTTTCTTTTTTATTCAGATTGTACCTGTTCGCGATTTGAGTATTCTCAAAGAGCCCAGGGGATTTATCAAGCCATTGCAATGGGTAAGTGTTTCTAATCTTGGTTATAAATTTCAGTAGCAAAATGAATTTTTTTTTTTTTTTTTTTTTTTTATTCTGATTTCTCTATATAATGTTTCTGTTTCAAAATCAAATCCTTCAATTATATTTTTCCTTGTTATTAATTTCATTTTCTACACATGTGGTAGCCATCAAAAGTAGTTCTTTTTACATGCATATGTTTAATGCAAAAGTTCTGTTTGATTGGCAATATTTCTATTTTTCATCATGTTATTAATCAGTATATCTAAATTATTACTTAGGAATTTTCTTTTAATGTAGACTTTGTTAGAGTTTTGCAGAGAAAGGTGTATACTGTATTTGGACATTTAAGATGAACTATTATGGAAAACATTATCTTAAATTGAATTTAATCAGGGCCATAGCTATTAATAGTTATGACCTGTATTTAATTGATTTGGATTCATATTCTACACTTTATATCAAATCTTTTAAGAGAAAAAAAAGACTTTTTGATTCAAGGGCAATAACTCGTACAATATTTGATTGGAATGCAGGGGAAGTAACAAAGATCAAATCTAACAAAATATTTGGTAATAGATTCAGAATTATTTACTACTCTGAATCTGACCAAATGGTTTGTAAAAATGACGTAAATGTTTTATTTCGAAAAACAAGTTTTGGGGTTTTTATATTTTTCTGGTAAGAAAATAACCCTCTACAAGATTTCATTTTCAGTCCGATTCAAAGAGAAATTTGTTGTAATTGGTACATGTTTAGTTTACATAACTGAAATATTTTCACTTGTGTACATTTTTTTTTTTTTTTTTTTTTTGAAAGATCGCTCAAAAATGTTATTTTATATTGGGTTAGAGCTCAGCAGAAAAATACAATACTGCATGTTTTTAGAATACTCTTAATGTATAGTTTCAATTTTATATCCATAAGTAAACTATACATACACATTAGTAACTAATTTCTAATATGTAAATATCACCTTGATATTTTTAGTTTCTAACTAATGATTAGTTAGAAACTAAAAAAAAATAACAAGGTGATATTACATATTAGAAATCAGCTTGACAAGTCATTAAATTTGTTTTATTTTTCTTCCAAGTTTTCACTTTTTTTTTTTTTTTTTTTTATTGTAAATATTTTCTGACTAAAAAATTAACATAAAATCTCTATTTTATAATCTCAGGACATTTTGTATTTAACCTTCATTCTGAGTTGTTTAATATCTTTTTATTATAACTATTATTATTATTATATAATCAGTGAAAAAGCACTTAATAATTCCCTACAAACCAATTTATATGGAATGTTTTCCTCTATTCTGTATGTATAATATATGCTCACTGCTACTCTTACAAGCTAATTACTTTTTTGATTAGTTAAATTTATTAAATAAATTAGATATTCATTAAATTATTACTATCTTCCACATTCAAAATTTATTTACAGCTCATTTAAAAAGATTTTTTTCTTTTTCCAATAAAAAAAACACAGAATTTGATATTAATTTTTCAACAGATTATCAATCATAGCACTATCTTTGCCTGCAGATGGTAAATTTAAAAAATCTAATAAAGTAACTGTCATAAATGAAAAATAGTGAATTCCATGATTATTCAATTGTTTTCTGAGTTCCATATTTTGTCTAAAATAAACATGGGTGTTTTAACTATCAAACTGGTAAAAGGTCAAATTGAATAGTGGATATGTTTAAACTAATTGGTAAATTGAATTAACAAATTATAGATAATAAATGAAGCTACTCTTCCACCAGTTCATGGTATAGTAATAAAAAATAGTAATAATTACATTTTAACTTGTTTTGTTTGATCACATGAATTACCTGATTGATTTTTCCAGAACATCTGTAGATCATCAACAAGGAGAAAAATAGCTTTTACAAATTTCATTCTGGAACTGTTTCTGTCACATTGGGCACTCTAGTGTCATGATTAACAAGCTCGTCTTACTAAATCAATTACAATTGAATAATGACTTTGGGCCTTACTTGGTGCTTCATACTTCTGGCCTTGTGCCACATCTAAGCTATGCTTAGTAAAGCTCTACATTTTTATCACATGATAAAATATTTTCTATTGATGTTTTAGATTTGTAAATCCTTCACTTGAAGAAAGTCTTCAAGTAATGAATTGAAGGATAGACCAAGAATTGTGCATCATTTTTGTAAAAGGATTACTCAAATATACTGTAAAATTCATGTTTGCCAAACTTCTTATATTAAAGAAGTACTCCTAAAATGAATTGTGATTTATCAAACACTAAAAGTTTAATGGAAATTCAATAATTAGTTGACTTCCTTGACTTTTTAAAGATCTGTTTCCTACCTAAGTACTTCTCTCTTACAAATTACAATGTTACACTGTTTACAGAATGTAAACATTTCAAATGCAAATATTTCCAATTCTGTATACTATACAGTTTTATAGTCAACATCAATGATATATGAAAACCAACAAGAATTACAAAGAAATATAATGACAAGATATTGTAAAAGATTTCAAAAATAAAATAGGTGAGAAGTTTGAGTTGCTTCTCTTGCTAAAAGCAAATATTGAGGATCTTTCTAATCAGTTGAAAACCATCACCAATAAAGTTACAAACAAGTGGGAGGTATGCCAAAAGAACTTATTGAGCTAAGTGAAAAGAGAAAAATAGCAAGATGGGAAAGCTTGCAAAATCAGAAATTTAAAGTACTTAAAGAAAAATACAAGTTAAATAGAAAAAGGGTATCAAAAGTTGAAAAGTGGACAGTTTGGAAAGAAAATCTCTGAATTAGAAACCGTTTATGAAGCAAATAAGTCATGAACTTTTTAAAATGATACGAGAACTTGAGGGAAAACCTAAAGCCTTCATATAGTAAAAGACATAATTGGCAAAAAGCAAACTATTTATATGAAGTCCTAGAGTGGTGGAAAACACATTTTGATGAGCACCTTAACACTAAATTTCCACGTGAAAACTCTGCTACTGATAACATACCAATTACTCATGATGAACAAAAGGAAATGGAAGATATAAACAAAGATGAAGAACTGGAAAAAAAACACCTGGAATAAATGTCATAATATCTGAAGTGATTAAAGTCGGAAGTAGTGATGATAAATATGCTATACAAGATATTCTCAACTATTTGGAAAACCAAAATACCACCAAAAGATTTGGTCTAAAATGGTAGCCAGGCTTATTCATAAGTTGACAAAACAAACTCTGAATATTATTTCATATTTGCTGTCCATTCCTGGGAAGATATTTATTTAGTAGAATTGAACTGTATGAAAGATCAAACAGAAAGAGCTATAAAAGAAACCCAATATGATTTCCAACCCAGTAGAGGAGCAACTGATGGAATTTTTATTGTTAAACAATAGAAAAGACCAAAAGAAGAAAAGTACATTGACACTTCTATATTATTGACCTTAAGGCAGACTTTGATACAAGTTAGCAATGGATATTTGATAGGCTGATGATACCACATTGATATCTGTAATATTTAGCTCCAGATATCTACAAAAAAAACTTAAAAAAGCCTTAAAAAAAAAAAAATGAGGCATGAAAATAAATGCAAAGTAATTTCCTCTAGTCCAAATGAGATAACTATAGATGGAGATACTGTTGAAAAAGTAAACATGTTTATATACTTGGGATCAGTAATGCCTGGAATATCAGATGTAAATAGGCAAATAGTCCTAGTATCATCAACATTTGGTAAACTAAAAAGATATGGAACAGAAAAAATATATCTAATGTTATCGAAGTAAAATTATTCTATGCATTAATTATTCTTATTGCTACCTAAGCTGGAGAAATGTGGTGCCTAAAAAGATTGTAGAAAACTTGTCTTTGGAATGATCACTTTAAAGCTATGGTTGGTGTAACATGCAATTATTGAATCAAAATGGACAATATTAGAAAACTAGGTATAACAAAATTAGTGACTTAGTGTGGAAGAAATGATTATGCTGGTTTGGCCATGTTGTTCAGAGTTATGTGCTTCAGGCATTTAAAAAGATTTTATCATGCCAAGGGATAAACCTACCAAGCATTGGAAAGACCAAATTAAAAACCACACTAATCTTTGTTTACAGCAAAAAAAATAACAAGACATAGATGGAAGAATTGTATAAACAATTGTTGTGCAAGGATCCTGTAATGGATTATACAACTAAAGTATACTGATATGCAGAAATAATTGTTATATCTTGAATTTCTTTCAATTTTGATTGACAAAATTTACTTTTATAGCATTTTTTTTCTTGCATGTCATGTTCTGTTCATACTAAATTGAATGTTATCTGATATAACTTAAAAATATAAAATCACCCATTTCAAAATAGATGTATTTTTCTGATGAAAACATTGTAAATTCTCAATTTTATTTTGAAAAGGTTTTTGAACAGATTAATAAAATCAAAATTCTTGTGCATTATTTTACTTTAAAACCAGTACAAATTAGTGTTCATTAAAACCAGTTTTCTTTGACATTTGGAACACAGGACAAAATGCATAGCTTCATGCTAAATTGGTGAGGCATTTTTAATTCTTTTAAACTAAACCTTATGCTAAATTATGAGTATCTTTAAAACTCTTAATATATCATAACATGAATTCTAATTGGATATCTGTATTTTTATGTATTGAAATGAAAAAGGAAAATTATTTTAGTTTTCCTTTTCAAAGTAGAACTTTTATAATTTTTAATTTTCTTCATCTATTTGTAAATAATTGTTTACAAAATAAAATAAATGACATGAAGTAATAGGATTTAATGGCTAAGAGTGGTAACTTTTATTTTATATAAATATCATGGCTAAATCTGTTTTCATTTTAATGTCTTGCCATCCCCATTTTAGAGCCAAATTGAGACCCTTCATTATTGCTTCTGACTTAGCTACATTGGCATGAGTAGTGTCACACTTTTTTTTTTTTTTTTTTTTTTTTCATGGCACAGTTGCATCTTCTGCCTCTACAGCTCTTACCTTCAGACTGAC